GATGACGAGGTTCGGATTTTGAAATAAGAACGCACAGTTCAGCCCTTTTTCGTGTAATTTTTTAAATTTTAAAAAAAAAACTTTTTTTTACTGTATGAACACGACGTTAATAATTTTTTTCTATTATATCATTATATTTCTTTTTCTTTTTAAAATTACTATTTTTTTATACAAAATTAAGAATATTATTTAAACAGTATTAAATAATTTACGCGTCGTATAAATTAAAAAAAAAAGTAGGTAATGGTTGAATTTGTACTTACGGATAAAATTAAGGTTGATTTAGTGTACAGAATAAAGGATATTTTGTCTTAATCTAATATTTGATGATACAATAGAGTATGATAAACAAATCTTCAAACTTATTCTATTATATGTCAATAGTTTAAATTTTGAGCTATTTTATGTTGAATATGAGTTAGTTAAAATCTAGTAGATTAGGATAAAAAAATTATTTATAAATAAAACAAAGATGATGCACTGATAGTGTAAACTTTTTTTAGACTGTCAATCAATGATAACCATGTATCCTGTTAAGTCATACTAAAAATTTTTAAGTTATTATATAACACTAGCGTTGAGACGAGCACTCACGTGCCCGTCTGTCCGCTTTTTTAATGTGCATGAATGAAAATATAAACGATATTTTTTGTTTAACTAAATATTTTTAAAAATACGTGAAAGTTAATAATAAGAAGTTATGTGGAAGTTAATTATAAGAAGTTATATGGAAGTTAATTATAAGAAGTTATTAAGTAAATTATATAATAAAACAAGGATAAAAATTGTAGAAAAATAAGTCACACCAAACCAAAGTATTCCCTTTATATATAGTTATAGATTATAATAATTATTTATTAAATTAATTAATAAAATTGAAAAGGTTAGAAAATAAAAATGAAGAAAAAAGTGGAAAATTAAAAGAATAAAAAAATAGTGATTATGATTGGCTAAAGTAATTGCGACAGTTCGCCTTAACTGTTGCGAGTGTGGAAAGAGGGCGATTCTTTGGTAACTGTCGCATTATTTTATACAACATGCCTAAAAAATTTGCGACGGTTGGCTCAAACCGTCGTGAGAACTGTCGTAATCCAAGAATAAGGACAGTTTTTCGGTAACTGTCGCAAAAAATCTACGACAGTTGACCCTAACTGTCGTGACAACCGTCGCAATCCAAGAATAAGGACGTTTTTGTGATAACTGTCGCAACTCAAGTGTCGTAAATCTCATTTTTTCTTGTAGTGTCATCTGCCTAATCACAGAAAAACTTCATCCGCATATCCATACGGGAAAATTATTTGTCTAAATACAGGAAACTTCATCCGCCTATCAATACGGGAACATCATCTGTCTAAATACAGGAAACTTCATCCGCCTATCAATACGGGAACATCATCTGCCTAATCACAGGAGAACTTCATCCGCCTATCCATACGGGAAAATCATCTGTCTAAATCACAGGAAACTTCATCCGCCTATCAATACGGGAACATCATCCGTCTAAATCACAGGAAACTTCATCCGCCTATCAATACGGGAACATCATCTGTCTAAATACAGGAAACTTCATCCGCCTATCCAATACGGGAAAATACATTTGTCTAAATCACAGGAAAACTTCATCCGCCTATCCAATACGGGAATATACATCTGTCTAAATCACAGGAAAACTTCATCCGCATATCCAATACGGGAATATACATCTGTCTAAATCACAGGAAAACTTCATCCGCCTATCCAATACGGGAATATACATCTGTCTAAATAACTTCATCCGCCTATCCAATACGGGAATACACATCTGTCTAAATCACATGAAAACTCAATCCGCCTATCCAATACGGGAATACACATCTGTCTAAATCACAGGAAAGCTTCATCCGCCTATCCAATACGGGAATACACATCTGTCTAAATCACAGGAAAACTTCATCCGTCTATCTAATACGGGAATACACATCTGTCTAAATCACAGGAAAACTTCATCCGCCTATCCAATACGGAAATATACATCTGTCTAAATCACAGGAAAACTTCATCCGCCTATCCAATCCGGGAATACACATCTGTCTAAATCACAGGAAAACTTCATCCGCCTATCCAATACGGGAAAATACATCTGTCTAAATACAGGAAAACTTCATCCGCCTATCCATACGGGAAAATCTGTCTAATCACAGGAAAACTCCATCCGCCTATTCATACGGGAAAATCATCTGTCTAAATACAGGAAAACTTCATCCGCCTATCCATACGGGAAAATCATCTGTCTAAATACAGGAAAACTTCATCCGCCTATCCATACGGAAAAATACTCTTGGATATAGCTTATTTGCTTGTTCTTTGCAGTAGCTAAACTCCACCGGGGATATTTTGAAAATAACCGCCAAACACCCGTCTCGACAACAAGTGACCACTTCTGAAATTTTGATTTATGAAACCCTAAGATGCTGTCGCGACAGCAATCCTGAAAAGAAACGCCCCGCTAACCGGATAAAAGAAACTTTAATAAGCAACTCTGTGGGGAAGATAATAAGATGAACTGTATCATCACATGTCTCACGGCGAGACTCCGAATATATGAAAATGAATCTGAGCTAGAACTCCATACTCCTGCTGAGAACACACCTGAAAGCAAAAGGTTAACCAACCTGATTTATGTTTCAAAATGCGTATGTTTGACAATGGCGTAATGCTCCATACAGCATGGAAATGCTACACATTTTTTTTTCGGTAGATGCAAATATGACAATATATGCAAATGCAAATGCAGGTTCGGACTGCTGGGGAAGCTCTGGTAAGCTTGCTTCATCAACACGGAATGCTGAGGACAAATACCGCCCTGCTGGGGATGAACGGGTATCACAAAGTATTCTGGCAAAATAAATGCCTGAAAATACAGCCAATTCTGTCGGGGAGAGATATAAATTACTCTCCCCAGCCAACAGAATTTGCATTCAAACCTAAATCATCACTAAACCTCAAGAATCTGATCCTAAAACGATCTATGTCCTCCCTATAACTTAACTGCAGGTCTAAATCTTCCTAAAACAGCCTAAAGCAAGAGGAATTTTGCTTGCAATTGGAGGTGTTTGAGTGTGAATCTCCGTGTCAAACTGTGCAGAAACCTTCACTGATTGATGCTAGAGCTATTGGAATGCTTGATTCTCCTTCAATTGGCCTTGATCTTCAAACTCGATTCTTGATTTTGCAAGCTTGAACTATAACTACCATTTTCTTCACCAAATGCCACCAAAAAAATGATTTGAAATGGGTTCTGAACTTAAATAGAGTGTGTTTGGATAACTCTTAGGCCCAATGAAAGCCCAATGAAAGCAATCCAAATTTCAATTTTTCCTTTAATTGCCAAAAAATGATCGTGAAGCATGGTTGTTAGAGGGTTAGGGCACTGTTATTGTTGGTTAAATAAATGAGGAAGTTAGTTGAAAGTTCTAACTCTGTTAGAGTTCTGTTAAATGAAGTTAGGGACTATCATCAGTGGCTTGAGTTGGAAACGGTTGGTTAGTTAGTTAGTTAGTTAAGTTAGTTGTTTGAATGAGTTAGTGAATTATGAGTGAAATAATAATCACCAAAGAAAATTTGACTCTAATTAGAGCTAATTCAAGAGAGAGTATGAGCCAGCTTAGAGTTAGAGCAAAAGAACAACCAAATTTTTATAGGTCCTCCCCTCAGCATACTTTGGTGTTAATTATTTTTATTTTTTAAATAAATAATTTTTTTATTATTATACTTTGTTTGCATATTATTTGTTTTTAAAAGAGTGACATTATAATAGTGTCATTAAAAGTATAAATACTATCATAAGATTATTATTATTATTGAAAATTTTTTGTGAAGTTTAGAAGATTTAATAATTAGAGAAATTTGAGGAGATGTCGTTTCAATGCGGGTAAATTCATATTATTGAAAAATTATTTACTATTTATTCAATGAGTATTGTGGGAAAAAAAATTATGATGAGTTTTGTAGTGGTGTAATTGAAAGAATTTTATTATGAGTTTTGTAGATGATTGTGTTTCAAATTATTTACACCATTCTTACGGATTTAAAACAACGCACAGAACTTGCATCCATTCTTACGGATTTAAAACAACGCACAGAACTTGCATCCTCATCCGTCAGCCTCCATCTCAAACTTAATGGAAAAAATTCAATTCAATTGGAGGCAGTTGCAAAACTCAGTTTTCAGAACTCGGTTTTCAACTCAATCAACGTCGAATTAAAGAAATTCTGGATTAATTGAATGAAATTTACCTTAAATTCCAGTTATGTGATGTGATGAAATACAAATGATAGTCTGGTATTGAAAAGTTGATTAAGAATGAGAGAAAAAATTGAGTTTTCAAAATGGAGGATTTTCTTAACATGGAAAAAAAATCATACAAACTAGTGTTTTATCAAATTTTTCACTGGACATTTCTAGAAATGCATATCTAAAAACATCACTGGATCATTTATTAAATCAAAAACACTAAATGAGTATCAATAATTTAGAGATGCATAACCAAATACACCCAAACATTATACGGAAATACATCTCTATAGAGTAGATCTCAAAAGCAAATGATGGTATGATTTTTGGTATTGGTACATCAAAAGATACATTTCCAAAATATTTAGTCGTGCAATAGAAACCGAAATTATCCAGCAAAAGAAAATTACTCGGGCAAACTGTCACTGCTGCAAACGTTTTTATTTACTTACATGAGAATGTTACATTATTACATAATGCACGGACAACATACAGCACGCGCGGCATACACACTAAAGAAAAGAAAAAGATATATGTACAATTATTACCAGATGCAAAACAAAGCATAATTACACTCACATGCCTGATACTATAAATAACTTTTTTAGACTTCACCTTTCATCTTCAACTAATATTATTTTATGATTATCCAAAAGAGTAGCAATAAATATGTACAGAGAATTGTTTGATCACCATGCAGAGAACGGAATTCTTTCTACCACTTTGTCTACTCTGGCCGAAAGCTTATCAAATTCGGAAGATCGGTTGAATGGAGCTTCTTAATTTCAGCTGCATTGACCTTGCAAGACTCCAAGGAAAGAGTGCATAAATTCTTTAAAGGCTTCAAATATTGCAGTCCTTGGTTTGTTACACGAGAATTTGAAACATTTAGCGACTTCAGTGCAGTCATTCCTGTAGTAATCGGATATGGATATACTAATGTGTTAAGGAAAGAAGAACAAAACCTACCTAATCAAAACTACATAGCAAGTAAGGAATCAGAAAGCGAAGCAAAAAAATGATATTCTTCATCTAATTTTCCTTTTCTTTGATTTAATTCTGATTCTGCAAGACTTAGTTGCTCATGCATAATCAATGGGTTTATATCTGGCAAGTGAACATGTAGCATTAGTATACCACTGTCAGCTGCACCCTCGTTACATTAGGGGCTTAATTCACAGTTAACTTGAATTTGGAAAGTGTAACATATAGTTGACTACACGTTGAAATTACAGTTTTACGTCGATATAAATATGCCAAGTCATTTAGATCATTATTATCGAAAAGAGCAGTAACGAAGACATGCAGAAAATACCAGAGATTAACTCGAGAGTTTTATCTGTCAATTTGCAATTCTGGGAAAGGTTTAGCTGTGTAAGGGAGACAATTTCTCTAATATTTTTAACGCCAGCATCAGTTAAAAATCCACCACAAATCTCAAGGGATTGCAGGTTCTTGAACGCTGCATGATGCAAAAAACAAAATAACATTTAAGCCACCAAGATAACTTTATGAAAAAGATTGTGTAAACCCTTGTGTTCCAGTTACTTCAATTAATGTTTATTGTATACAATACATATGAAAAATAATGAAAAAGTTAGCTGGTCCTTGAATGAGGTTTTCGAGTAGTACTGCCTCAATTTATTTTTGTTTTCATTTAGGGCCATTAAACCATTTATTTCGGGTAGTAGCAAAAACTTGTTTGTCCAGTTCAGCAGCTTTAAATTTTTCATATTTTATACATAATAAAGAACAGAAAGTAATCGTTATGTATTTTTTATTTATTCTCTGAACAATTATAACAATTTCATAACAGATTATAGATATTAGGGATACAATTTCATAACAGATTATAGATATTAGGGATACAATTTATAATCAGGTATTTTAAAGAATGAAGGAAATCAAATGAACAAAGGAAATCAACAATAGTCTGAAGTTGGTATACATACATCGTAAATAAGCAGTTCCAGAGTCAGTGATACGCGCACCAAATAGATCCAAAGTTATCAACCCACTCAGACCTATACAAGAAAAGAGTCAATCAGACATTTACATTTGAAGCTCCCAAGTGCCAACAGAAATAAAAGTAGTTCCAGCTCAAACAACTTAATTTGGGCATTTAAATAGTAAAAAGTGATGAAAAACTATATAATGGTTTAGATTGCACCTCATAAAAGGGATGTGATCCTGGTCAGCTCAGAGTTTGTTTAGTTTGGACAAAATTGATTTATTTAAAGCAGCATTGCGTCTAAATTTAAAGACAATGTTTCAATTAAATATCTAAACCAAAAATAGGGCCATTATGAAGGCTTAGATAGGGCCAGTATTGGATTCAAACATGGTGTTTCTACAAGGGCTTAAGTAAAAAGAGTCGTGACCTCATATATAGATTTAACCCTATGAAAGCACTTGATCCAATAAAATACAATAAGTCACTTGTTTCCAAATAGCATGTGATAAATATGCAATCAGAAAAAAGTGGTTATTTAGAAAGTTTTAGACTTCTAAAAATGATTATATAAAAAAGTAAAACACATCATAGGAAAAAAATCAGTCATTAGCAGAGTATATTTGATGATCCACCCTGAAAGAAAAAAAATGAACCATGTGAAAGTAAAGAAGGGAAATGAGAGAAAGAGAAGAAAAACAAACGTACGTCACAAGTGATCATAAAGAGTGAGTGAAAATCATTAATATGACTCGACAGTACTCATAGATGAAATCATAGAAAAAAGATAGAGAAATGTGCTAGCAGTGGTCTCTGACTATCTTACCACCTACTATCAGAACTCAATTTTACAGTTTGCATGCTGGCATTCTGCAGTTATAGATTTTTTAAATAATTTTAAAAATAACAAAAAATGAAAGGAAAAATAATAAATGGCAAACGGTCAAAGAAGTTGGGCCATGTTTAATGATTTATTTATGCCACTTTCTCAAGACTGGGCAGTACCCTATATACATATACAAAATCATTCATATCACAAGTGAATATACGTGAAAGAAAGACATGCAGTAAATATATGATTGATTATACACAAGGAAATGCTTACTTGTAAGATTTGCCAGTCCAGCATCAGTTATCTGTCGAGCATCCAGATTAAGCGATTTAAGACTTGTCAGTCCAGATAGCCTTTTCAGGCCATTGTCAGTTACTGAAGTAAATGACAGATTCAAATCTTCAAGTTTTTTTAACCCTGGACAAAGGCAAAAACAATTTCACACGTGTATTAAAATCAGTGTCTGTAAATATCTCTAACAAGACAGAATCAGATAAATGGACATATGTGTTTGTGTGCAAGTAGATGTAACTGGAAAAGATATATTCATAATAGACAGAGAAAATGTACAACTATAAAAACAAGATGTCTTGGATCAAATCAAAATGTTGAATGCAGCAACCACAATGATCACATTCCAAGATTGAGCCTAGACACACAAAGTCAATTAACATACTAGAAGTTGATAACATGGAAGCTAAATTAAAAGGTGCTGAAGTGAATCATGTTATATGAAACATAGATTACCTCGTACACAGCACAGAAACTTTAATGATTATGTAGCCTCAACATATAACCAACAAATATAGAAATATAATTGAGTTTAAATTCTCATTTCACAACTGCAGGGTTGTTTCTATCAACCTGATAAATATCGAAGCCCTCCGTTCCCAACTTCAGTGTCGGACAACACTAGGATTTTCAAGAGAGTGAGACCTGAAAGAATAAATAGCTGTAAATTTCATACTGTAGGTGATATTTCCAATTCACATAATGGACACCTAAAACCTCATTAGATATTCAGAAGTAACAAAACCTTCCCCCCTCGAATAGAATATTATGGTAGAACAAATCAAAACCACCAGACAATGCATACTGTAATGAATATTCAAAGCACAAGTTCAAGACCAAATAATTCTTTAAATTCACAACATGATAATTTTATAAATCCAAGTCAAAACCATTTGGCTAATGTTAAGTTACATGGCTTTGTTCCATTCCACCCCCAATATTAATTGACCAAGAAAATATGAGAAGTTGAATCATAAGTTAACACTGTTCAGCTGAAAATGACAACAAGGTGTAATTCTACTTATTCCCCAATCACGGATCTAAAGAAAAGTTGATGCTTAAAATCTCCTAGCATTGCAAGGTCTGAGGAAAAGTTGATCCCATTTCAGATCTTTTGTAACTTTGCTTTTGCAGGAACATTAAAGAAGTATAACAATTCTATTAAGCTTTAAACAATGTAACAACCATTCAAATCTACTAAAGGGAGAATGTAAATTTAGCAGTAAACCTGTCAAATTCGCAAGCCCATCATCACCAATCTGGCAAGAATCCAGATTCAAATACTCTAAATTTGTTAAACCTGTCAAAGAGAAGCCAATTAAATATCTATGGACAATTTGAAAGATAAACAATCAACAAGTTTCAGTCATGATGATAGTCAATGTGGCAGAAATTGAATATTTAACCAAATTGGGTATGAAACAAATTATTTTCCCAATGGTATTCAATATTGTGCAGAGTCAGCACACACAAGAGATTGAAGACTATAACATGCACCCAATAACTTCTACGCCTTGATTTGAGTTGTCATTTTACATGACAATAAAAGAAGGGAAGGGAAGTGACATATGGGAAGAGGATAAGATATTCCATCTTCCCCAATATTTTTTATAATAAAAGGAAACATGATTATCAAAACCGGTGTCAATAAGGAAAACAGAAGTTAATTTCAAATTATTGAAAGGAATATAAATTATATAAATGGGAAGGTCCATCTCAAAATGTGCAGCTAGCATCTAAAAATTGAGGCGGTGGTGAAAATAGAAGAGATAAATCCAGACTGTACAAATCATGTATCTTCTCAACATAGGGAAGCAGCTTATGGGAAAAAAGGCGCTCTTAAAGGAGTTGTAGAGATATGACTAACCTTTAAGATGAACTAAGCATGTGTCTGTAATCTTGTTAAAAGCAAGACTTAATCTCTTCAAGCTTGTAAGACCTGCACAAAAGAGAACGTTGTGTTGTAAAACTGAAAAGTTGTTGCTTTGTTAACTTTAGAGTAAGAAATATGGACATGGGCTTGAAAAGTCCGCAAATTTGGTCACTATATTTTGAGTTACCAGAAAATTTCTCAAATCCATCATCGGAAAGATCGCATCTGTTGAGATTTAAGCATGCCAGGGAAGCTAAGGCTGTATGCGAAAGGAAACGCAATTAAAGAACAAACCAAGGAAATTTTGGACATTGGAACAGTGATAAGCAAATATGAGATGCCAAGATCAGATACTAAAGTAGTCTTTTCCGTTTAAGCATTACTTGGATTGCATGTCAAGCTTGTCAGATCATTAATTTTCAAAATAAATTAGAAGGAAAGTTCAAAAATTAAAAAACAACGTCCAGAACAAATAGAGTTGATGTCTACAATCAACGGATATGAAATGACAGAACAAATTGAGGATTTAATTACCAGAAATATACTCAAAACATGCAGCAGTGATATTGCACCCTTCAACATTTAATGTGGCAAGCTTCTGCAAACCTGTAAATCAGGGAGGAATGTCCAAGCAGTGTAACAATGTATAAAGCAAATAGTTTTTACAATTAATTCCATAAACCGAAACAGCATTTTGATTATAGCAAGAGAATAATGAATTTTCACTGAAGAGTGAACATTAGTTGTTTGGAAGTTATGGATTATAGATAAAAGGAAGTGAGAAATAATAAGAATTTTGAATATTATTGATAATAACTTGATGCTAACTTGATACAACAGTAACTGAGAAATATGATAATGACATAATGCTAACTTGATACAAAAGTAACTGAGAAATATGATAATAACCAGTGTTGTCGATGGCGGATGGCGGTCCATGGCGGAGAGGCTAAATCCCGCCATACCGGCCGCTTTGCGGCGCCGTTATTGCGGATTATGGCGGAAAACCCCGCAATAGCGGCTGATATCTTACCACTGAGAAATATGATAATATTAATAACTTGTGCTAACTTGATCCAAATCCTAAATAAATAGGAAAATCATGAAAGTAATTGAGAAGTATGAAAACTAATTCAATGAGATAATCTAAGATACTATTAATGACTAATCTTAAAAAGGAAACCAATACATTATCATTATATTATTTTATATTCGAACAAATCGACAACCAGATATGTTCTGATGTGCATAAAATAGAAGCAGCAGCTATAGTCTTGTTGTAACACTTGCAATGGATGACAAAGCTATAGAAATACCTCTTAAATAAGAAACCCCAAGATCAGTAATATTGCTGTTGGAAATTTGCAACTCCTTTAAATTAATAAAACCTGAAACATTTCATACCGACAGTCAACTCAAACTGCAACCGCGGCCTAGCTTTTTGAATCTAAAAGTACGAAGAGAGAATTAAATTAGCTAATCTCATGAAGCTATTAGTTAAGTAACCAGATGCTAAGGTATAATCTCAACTACAAAAATTGTTATTGAGTATCAGCCATAATAACATTTTGCATCCACCTCATTTGGGAAAAACTTCTACATAGTGTATCACAAAGTATGAAAATATAAATTGCGTTGTACACAAACAGATAGGAGAGATTGAAATGCAACTACTGTAATAAAAAAATAAACAACCAATACCTGAGATAGCCTTCAGGTCGGAATCCGTAATACATTTACAGCATCCGATATTAAGAGACTCGAGCTTTTTCAGACCTATATTAAAAAAAAAAACAAAGGAACTAAATCTATTACAGAGTAATTCCAAAACAAAGTTTCTTTAAAAGCAAACTCTAAGCAGGAAAGCATTTAATAACATCTAGATAATAAATTCCGTAGAAGAAATCAATGACAGGTTGACTCAAGTGGTAAGATAAAACAGCCTCCGATGCAAGGACCCATAGACTGATTTTTATTGGCAGTCCTCTATTATAAGTCAATTGTATCCTAAATTGGCATACCCTGACCCATGCCTTTCCCTCCCCTTAACATTTTTGTATAGTAAAAAAGGTTCATTTAATGAAGGTAAAACTTAAACTTATTATTGCCATTAGGCGTAGGCTATGGCACCGACCAGATGCCATCACCACCAACTAAAGAATAATGATGGTAATTCATCTAAAATAATTTAAAAGAAGAGTATGACATCACACAATTTATAAAAGATGATTACACGAAAGTTATTGATTCAAAGAATATGGTGGATTCATAAGATGCATATGAAATTTACAACGAAAAAATCAGCAAAACAGTTACTTGTTGTGCAAATGGTTTAAGAGTCAAGCAAGAAACAAAACAAATTTTGAGATAAAGCTTTATGAAATAACAATAATATTCATCTAGCCTGAAGAAGTTCATGACAGGCCGCCCAATTAACCAACCATATCTCATACCTAAACATACGTTAAAGAAAATATAATTGTTTCAAATTACTAGATGTGAGGTTGTTTTTTACAATGTCAAGTCCATACGGAAGTTTACTTCTTATACATAACTAAGCAAGATATCAAGAATAGGAACCTTTAAAATGAACAAATCCGCCATGAATATATGAACACCTCTCAAGGTCCAACTTCTCCAAATTAACTAAGTTGGAAAAGGCTCGCATTCCATCAGGTGTGACAGCACAGCTCTTCCTGATGCTCAATGAAGTCAAGTTTGATAGACCTATGCAACAAATTTTTCTTGATTGATTATATTAATTACTCAAATAAAACTATTGCTGTCTCAATATCTATTCATGTAAAATAACTTCAATATGCAAAACATCCAATATGTGTTTAACATTCAAGAATAAATTTCTCCAACTTTTTGCAAAATATCAAAAATAATTGAATAATAGATTGTTTTTTTACATAAAAGAAAGACAAAAACAACAGTATATAATTCAGAGTTTTTACACAGGTAGAATACATGATAGGCACAAAAGATCATCAAACTCAGCACAAAGTCCTGTCTCATTTGAATAGTTTGAATGATTTCATCATCTTATTATTTTGTTTAAAAACTCTTAACGATCAGGAGAAAAAATAGTCATTCTACCTACCATTAATGTGTTTGAGTCCGTGTTCAGAAAATTGATCACAGTAATTAAGGGTCAATGCTTGAATATTTGAGCAATTCTTTAAGAGTCGCAGTCCACTGTCTGTCACATTAGAGCCAGAAACATCAACGGCAAGTAAAGAAGACCCTTGTGAAGCAATGACGTCCATCCAATCATCATTCACTCCAAAATATTCTCCCAAGTAAACATCCTGCCATGAAAAACACAACATATTTGATAAGTACTTAAATCAAACCAAAACCTGCAATTTCACCAACCCTCTTGCACGCAAAGTACCTCAAGAGCACAATCACGAAAAGCATTTAGAGACGCTTCTGTAAGACAATGAGAATCCACCAATTCATTAAAGATCTGCTGGCTTAAGTCTCTTGGTAGAATTGAAAACGAATGGTATTTATGAAAATCCTGTCATAACTTGGATCAACTACAGCATAAATACAAAACAACCATAGAGAAACAAACAAAACAAACAATTAACAAAAATCGAAAAACATGCACCTCGCGGATCTTATTTATGCATAAATCCATAAGAGAGGGACAAGTACCCACTCCAGGAGAATGATTTGTCTTAGAACGTAAACTTCTTGCTCCTAACCATTTTGTGCTTGCACTTCTACAGTACCTTCCAGATACTCCCCTGCGTAAATCATCTTCTAAAACTTGTCTCTTCCTAGAACAGATACCTCCCATCACTTTCTTTTTTTACAATACTGTCCCTTGATTATTAATGCATGAAAAATCAAAATCCCATTTGAGAACAATATTCTTAGGGATTGAACTGCATGAAGGAAGAATTTAATCAATTAATTAAGCAAAATAATCAAATATATGACAACCTAACAACAGTGGAAGCTTAGGGGAAAAATAAATAACTAGAATCAAACAAACCAGCCCATAGTTATGATCAAACAAACAAGAAGAATAGAACACCATAAAACACTACTAGTGAAATAGCAATCAAAAAGTAAAATACAATTAAATTAAATTAAATTAAATCAAAAACACGATGATTAACTTTGTTTAGTAGTAATAGTAGAATTTTGAACAGTTGCTTATCCCTAATTCAACGATTACTCCGATCAAAGCAATGAAAATGATCGAGATGAATTTCTATTTCTATTTTGAGCTTATTCGAAACGTAAACAGAGAGTGAAACTTTGGATATTTTAAATTTAATTTAATAATAAACGAATGATTGTTACGAAGAAACAGACGAAGATAAAAGTAAAAGGAAGACTTGCTTTGATTAGGTTAGGTTTTTGAAGTTTGATCGGAAACGTTATTCTGGTAGAGTGACGGAAATGGAAATAAGTTCAGTGAGTGACGATAGGTTAAAGGTGTACGAAGATCATAGGAGAGAGAGAGAGAGAGAGAGAGAGAGAGAGAGAGAGAGAGAGAGAGAGAGAGAGAGAGAGAGAGAGAGAGAGAGAGAGAGAGAGAGAAGGAAAAGACCTGGTGATGAATGACATGTGGCGATACTTGTTATTGGGGAAGAGTGAAGAGTGAGTATGGAAATGAAATGGGATAAGAACAAACAATAGAGAAGAGAAGAGTGGGGTCTATTATGTGCGGGTCCCACGTCCGCCTCTTCCGCACTTGGACTTGGATCATTCGCGAATTTTAACTTTGTCGTTTTCCTTTTCTTTCATTCTCATTATTTTTTCTAATATTCTTATTATTGGATAGAATAGATAACGTAAACACATCATTTTTTAATTTTTCTTCTTTTAATGTTGATTTTTTTATGCTGAGCGTTGGTTTTCCCTTTTTAATGATTTATTTAATTATTTAATATTGATCCGGAGATTTACGTACATACCTAACTTGATCGATAACATTTGAATGATTGAGTATATCATCTAATGTAGCCGTATTTAGAAACATTCGTCGAATTAATTAAATATATTGTAAAATACGAAGAAAAAATAAATAAATAAATAATAACATGTTAAGTTTTCAGCCTGCACCAAATTAATCACGGGAAATGGGATGATAACGTTTGAAAATTTAAACATGAAAGGTGAACTTTGGAGTGACGTTTGAAAATTAAAACATGATAGGTGAACTTTGGAGTGTATGCTCACTGTTTAGAGAGAGCGGTTTGCCATATTCTTCACCGTCCATTGGATTTGGACATTATGGTAAACAAAGTCTTTAATTTGGTTTTGACATTCTAGTGGTAGGAAATAAAGTATACGTGGCTTAATTTTGATTTTATATAATGATTTGAATATTTAAAAGGGGACATTGTTGAATTGGGAGTCACACTACGAATTTAATGTCAAGACAAATTTTGTTCTTGTCTCGATTTATTAAAATTTAATTAATTTGAAATTTAATTTAAGTTTGTTAGAGTCAATTAAAGTTCACGAACAATTTAATTTAAATTTATTATAAAAAAAATTTAGGTAAAGTTTGACTCAATTAAAATTCATATATTAATTGATTTAATTGAATAATTCGAATTTGGTCAGAATTGATAGTTCTATTGAAATTATTTGATTCTCAAAGTATGAATATTGAGAGAGAAATATCAAATTAGAGAGAATCTAAGTGAAATTAAAGAAGAGATAAATGTGTTTTTATTGATGGAACCGAATTAAAAATAATGACAAATGTATATAGTTAGAAAATTAACTCTCCAACTAATTTCTAAAAGTGGTAGTTGTGATAGTTAGTTGTGTTGTGTTGCAAGTGAGATACAATATCCTAATTCACATCAGCTAGTTTTCTTATGCATATCAACTCCTTCAAGCAATCAAAATTTTCCCACTTTAAAGGTTTGATCAAAATATCTACAAGTTGCAACTCTGTTTTTGCAATACTCAATTTTTAAATTGGATTTTTCATTTGATCTCTTACAAAATGGTATTTTATTTTAATATGATTGCTCCTTCCATAATTTATTGAATTATTAGTCAAATCAATTATTGAATTATTGTATTAAAAAAAATAGATATTCATTACTTCACTAAACTCCAACTTTTCTAACATTATTTTTATCCACAATGTTTAGCAAGCTACATATGAGACTAAAAAAAATAGATATTCATTACTTCACTAAACTCCAACTTTTCTAACATTATTTTTATCCACAATGTTTAGCAAGCTACATATGAGACTGCAACCTACTATATCTCACAACATGATAGAGTCAATATCTTGTATTTCTTTGAGTTAATTAAATAGGAGTTTCTTCAATCATGAATATGTATCATATTATACTTTTATTGTCATCTTGATCTCTTCTCCAATCTTAATTAAAATACTCATATGCATTGGATTCTCTTATAGTATCCTTTTGATTTGACATGAGTACACCATAATTTGTAGTGTCTTTGATCTATTTAAAGGTTCTTTTAGTTGCTAGTAGAAGATATGATCTATGAATCTCCATGAATCTTCTTGCCAAGCCAACACTTTGACAAATATTAGGTCTAGTTTGTTTAGGTATCTTGGTCAGCCAATCATTTGCTTATAAAAAAAGTTGCATCTACAAGTTTAACATTTATATCCTTCATTTTTGTACTTGTTTTTATGAGAGTGATTGTAGGTTTGCAAATGCTAATCTTGAATTATTTTTCAAAATGTCTTTTGCATATTTCTTCTAGATCAAGAAAATACCAAATGTTATGTTCACAAATTCCATACCTAGGAAATAATCCAAATTCCCAAGTTCTCACATCTCATGTTCCTTCTTAATGTTGGCTTGAATTTTGTCGATTCAGCGATCTTGTTACTAATAAATCATCTACATATAGGCATATAATGCTCTGTTCCTGCTCGCTTGAATGTTTCACATGCATTATATGCTTGAATGTACATTTGTTGATCCTAGCTTGATGAGAAAATTGTCAATCTTTTATTTCAATATCTAGGTGCTTGTTTCAAAGCCTGGTATTTGCTTGACATAAACTTCTTCCTTTAATGGTCCATTGAGAAAAGCATATTTTACATCTAGTTAATGCATCTTTCACCCTTTGTGTGCTACAATTGCGATCATTATTCTTATGGTTTCAAGTTTGGAAGTTGGTGTGTATATTTGCAACTAGCATTGCGTTGTACTTGGATATCGCACAATTTGATCTAAGTTTTAGCTTATATACCCAATTCACATCCTTGATTTTCTTTCTTTAGCGAGTGACCAATTCCTAGGTCTGGTTATTCTCAATTTCCTTGAGTTCATCATTTATATCTTCTTGTCAGTTTTCGTATTTCAGGGATTGATTGAGGTTATTGTCTCAAACTCAATTGTCAACGCTTTACAATTAGATCATCATTTTCATCTATTAATTAAACAGAGAAAATTTCATAGTCAATCAGTCTAACTATATGAGTTATTTGTCTAGTTGATATCATTACTACATGTTCTTATATAACTTCCTTTACTTGATCTTCTTGAAATATAATTCTAACATTGTTTGAGTTCTAACCATTCTACATTGAATTATTTGAAACTTAGAGCTAGTTCCACCCTTTGTTGTCACCAAACAGCACATCCCTGCATATTATCACCTTATTATCATTAGGTGATAATGGTTTATGTGCATTTGTTGGGTGATAACCCATAAGGATCATTGTCTGACTTCTATCATGTGGTTTTCTTCTTAACATCTTAAGTACAAGCCTGAAGCATGGTGAGTCAAATTTTTTGAAGTGACAGTCATTTGGCATCAAACCTATCCAAGCTTCGTATAGTGTGTTGTTTATTAACTTCTTTGTTGGGAATTTATTGATGATATGTATTGTTGTTAAATTGCTTCTACCAATAAATGATTTTGAAATTATTTAGGCTTGAGCATATGCTTCTTGCCATGTTCAATATGTTTTTATTCTTTATTTAGGCAATGTCATTATTTTAAAGTGTGAATGGAGTTATTATCGCATGCTCAATTTCTTCTTTCTCACACAATTGTGCAAACTCAGTTGAAGTATATTTACCTCACCCATCAGTTCTTAATATCTTAATGTCACATTCAACCCATTGTTCAACAAAATTAAATTTCTTGAGCAGAGTGGATACTTTATTTTTCTTCTTCGTCAAGTCAATGCATATATAACTAGTGAATTCATCTATGAAAGTTAGAAAAAAAATTTACCTCTCAATGACTTTACTTCAAATGGCTCACATATATCTTAATGAACAATCTCCAATTTTTGTTATGATTTTATAGGCAAGTCATACTTGAATAACTTCCTTGTCTGCTTAGATACGCAACACTCTTCACATAATTTTTTTGGTGTTTTAATATAAGAATGACCATGCACCATTTTATTCATATGAATTAGACTATGACATATAAAATTCTGATGGCCACAACTCTGATTCCAAATCCAATTTCACACCTCGGTAATGGTCAATGCAAGATATTGATAGTCAAACATGTCAGTCAAAATTTTTGTCTTGTTGTTTGATAGAGGTGCTTTCAAAATTAGTTTGTAATTTGAATCAAATATCTTCAGTTCATCTTCCTTTAGCCTCATGGTGTGATTCTCATTAAGTAGTTGTCTGAAACAAATCGGGTTGTTTGCCATTAAAGGAACATATAACACATAATTTATTATTGCTTCTTGTCCATCTTTCCTGTAACACCCATATATAGTACATGTTTAGAATTATACATATTATACATAGTTACAAATTTGGTATTGAAATATACAAGTTCTTTTTTACCCGGTTGACCTACTGT